CCATTTATTGTTCCACAATAGTGATCTTGTCCTTGGGTTCTACTTATTTTTTCTAGGAATAGAAAGGAAAAGATGGACAGGACCACATGGCACACTTCCTTGACAGTACCACTTACTGATGTGCAAATCAAAAGTGGTCCAGTAAGACATCTGAAATCACTAGCTTATTGCTGGAACTGACTGCAGAGTCCTGCAGTGAACACTCTCATGGCCCAGTGATGAAGTAAGAGGCCAAGCAAAAAAATTAGTATAGGGCTGAGAACTAGGATAAGTCAGATGCCATATTCCTTGCATCTTTGTGGGCTGCTCCCTGACTCCTATACAGACTTCCCGAGTTACAAACATCCAACTTGCAAATTACTCATAGGTAAGAATGGAGGTGAGACAACATGACGTGAGAGAAACCTACTCAGAAATGAAATTCACTCCTGAAAGAGTTATCATGGGGAAATGGTGTCTCCACTGGAGCTTTCTCACCAATCCTTGTTTCCACAGCAAGTCACATTTTTCAAGTTCCAATTATCACAGGGACAGAAAGTGGGATGAAATCTTCTGAACTGGCACAGGCAGCAAAACAAAACACAAGGGTGTTCATCATTCTCTATACTATCAAAAGCTTAAAAATTATGTTTGGCTCATAGACAAATTCAACTTATGAACAAACCTACAGAACCTATCTTCATAACTTGGGGACTGCCTGCCTGTACCAGGAAGAAAAGTCCCTGAGCTGGCAAATAACACCCCCATATCCTTGGGTGTATGTGAGTTTAACTAAATGTTACTTCCCCCATATACCCGTCTTTCTTTTAATTGACCAAAAAGAAGTACTTTTAAAGAGAAGTTGACTAACTGGACAATTGGCATGGTTCGTTTAAACCTCTGGCAAAAAAAAAAAAATCCCAAGAGGATTTCTTTTAGAGGGGAAATAACTGCCTTAAGACTTTTGATGACCAGATTTGCCATTTGGGACACAAAAAACTGGGGTGGGGGGAATAAGCCCCCCCACCCCAGAACAGTTGCCACGGGTGAAATGGTAATTACAGTGTTCTGACACTAGCGTATTTATTCATCTCTAAATAAATATAAAATTTACTGCAGAGAGAACAGCATTGATAATATTTTAAAACAGTAATAATGTTATCCTTCAGGCTTAGTTGCCTTGCTGAAAAAGTTATTTTGCCTAACAAAGTTCAAGATTCGTTGTACAATACTGCTAGACCAACATGCTGTTCCCTAAAACAGGTTTTTCCTGTCATTTGTGAAATGGTTTCCCCAGATACAGATGGTATGCTAAATGTCATGGTAAATAGTTATTTCCTGCTCCGTTCTAATTGAACAATGAACTTCACAGCAGTTGAAACACAATATATGTTTTTTATCATTATTTGTCACTTAGTAAATAAAAAGTATATATTTGACTAAATTGTTGAATGTACTTTCTAGTCGCCATGATAAATTGGAAATATCAGCTCAAGCCTAATATTTTTAGAATGACAGGCTGACCAGAACTTTCTGTTGACAAAAAGTTGTCGATTATTCCTAGTTTTAAACTAGTTGTTATGGCGTTTGCTCCATCCATCAACCTCAAATATTTACAAATGTTCATGTTGCAGACCTCCCATATATGTCATTTCACACTCACAGTATCGTTCTTAAGCTGTATGGCTTCTGCTTGACTAATGGTTGGGTGTCAGATTATTTCTGAAATCTCAACACAATTTTAGTTTATGCTTCAAAGAGAGTGTAGATTATTCGTGAAAGGATTCCTGTCCTTGGGGAAAAGCACAGAATCATTATCACTTCCCTGATACTTTAGGGTATGGAGTGCTGTCCATTGGTTAAAAAAGGAAACCCAGATTATTTTTGCTTGCAAATACATTTCAGCGGTAATACACTACACACCACTTAAACACGTGATAAAGTAATTTTACTAGCATTCAAAACTGATTCGCTAAGAAGTTTGCTTCTGTAAGCAAGCCTTGGAGCCACACGTATGCACACAAGCAGTCCCAGGTGGGCTTCATACACGGGGAAAGCTGGTAAAAAAGTAGATACTGTGCCAAAATCAAGGATTCACCTGTAATTTCTACTGTAGTCTGTACTTGGATGCTGTAGCCAATATAGCGTATTGGTTTGAGCACTGGACGACAACTTGAGATCAAGATTTGAATCCCAAGGCAAGTTACACTCCGTCTTAGACAAACACAACCACCCCAAATAAATTGTGCCAAGAAACCCCAATTATAGGCTCACCTTAAGGGTGCCACAAATAAGAAACAATGTGAAGACACATAACGAGAAACTGAAGTTGCCAGGTTTGTCTTCCTGCATTGTAAGGTAAGAGGGGGATTGTGGGAGGCAAGTAAGACACTGCATGGGGAAAAACTGGTAGTATATTTATTTATTTGTCGTGTCAGGGCAACCAGTATATTAATGATAAAGGATAACGTACATCCATATGTATGTTACCTGTCGATTTACAGTGAGAGGGTTTCCTTAGGCAAGGTAAGTTTTGCAAGTTTTTTTCATCTGAAATATAGCCTATAGCACCAGGTATTTGCTGGTGTTCTCCCATATCCAAGTATTAACCAATTGTATCCTTGTCTTCCAAGATCAGACAGGATTTGGTGCCTTTGGGGTATTGGGTCACCCTAAACAGTAAGGAATAATTAAGTTAGATATCATAAATAGTTCCTAATACAATTATATTGGTTATTAATCTGATTCATGCTTCCCACCTGGTGATGAGAAGCCAGTAATAACAAGGTAGAGCCAAGATGTCTATGAGAACAGCCCTTATACAAACACAATACTATCACTGGATCTACTACAAATCCTTGTGGCAGCATTACCTTAGGAGTAGGGTAGATGTTTACCTTTCTAACTGGGGGGGCAAGGTGCTGTGAGTCAATTTGGGATTGCTACAAGTATCAGTGCATATGTTTGGTTTTTTTGTCACTTAAAGAAAAAGCAGAGGGGCCACAGCTTAAAACCATGCTCTTGAAATTGTTTCTGTTTAAATGCAGAAATATACCCGACGTCTAATGCTAGTAGTTACAGGTAATACAGCAATAGCTGTTCCTGCATAAACATGTTGTTTTAAGTTTGTGGTGCAATAGGATTAAAGAAGAGATGGAAAAGGTATGCCCCACAGTCCTCATGTGATTCCTGGAACATTTTTGGGATAGTTGGGTGCTCATTAAAAAACTTCCCAAATGGATGTGAAAGCCTTCTAGGATAATTTCAGCATGTGTTTTACATGCATACTCAGAAGAAGTCTTTGTTGACTGAATGGCCCCAAAGAAACAAAAAATATATGGTTAATTGCCCCCCCCCCCCAATAGAGAGTGTTGGGGCAATAAAGGGAGATATGAGACAGTGGTGCTAAAGTATATTGTAATAAAGCGAAAATAATCTGTTGGTATCTTTCATATGTCATAATTAGTACACCCATTGGAGCTTTGAGAGGATACCATAGATCCTCCATTAACCAGCACTCATGGGGATTCGTAGATGCCGGTTAAATGTAGTTGCTGGTTGACTGAGACTTGCTATTAAAAATAGGCCAAACTAATACTATACCTCATATTATACCATACCATAAACTCTGTATTGGCTTGATACTAATATTGAAATAGTGTAATTAAAAGCAAATTAAGACACAATTAACTTACTGTAATATTTCTGCTAAATATTATTTGTTTCAAGTATTATTTCTTGAAATAATACCTTGAAGAAGTTGGGGGTGGCGACAGCTGACAGGAAGCTCTGGTGTGGGCTGCTCCATGAGGTCACAGAGTCAGAAATGACTGCACCAATAAACAATATATTTGATTATTTTGCTGCTTGTTTGAGAATTCTGATTGCTTGAGAATTGATTGGCTAAATGAAAATTTACTGTACGGTGTTTATTTAATGGTATTTTGATCACCCCCACAAATCAAACAAGGATCTGCAAAGAGATAATTATTAGCCAAGGAAAAAGTTAAAGCTGTTGATTTGTTTTGTTGTTGAAAAAAGTGCTGAGAGATATAGGGTTAAATGGAAAGTAAGCTGCCAGAGCCACATCTTTTACTGGAGGGAGAACAGAGAAGGTTAAATGGTTTAAATGTCAGGATGACAGGACTCCAAAGCGCAGCTGAACTGTCACTTCGTAATTTATAGTAAGCAAACACCTGGCTGTGGAAGAGAAAGGTTTTTGATTGATGAAGGAGAGGAACGAATATGTCAGGTTAAATTCAGATCAGAAAGAAAAGGTACTAAATCCTGATTGCTTACGTTTCATAATTTGAAACTAATAGAATGGAATTCTATTCGAGCCAGGATTTGCATGTGGGATGGACCTACACTAAGGAACTAATGCAGTTTGACTCCACTTTAACTACTATGAGTCAATGCATTGGAGTTGTAGGTTTACAAGACCTTTAGCGTTCTCTCCCAATGGGTGCCGGTGCCCCACCAAACTACAAATCCCAGTACTCCACTGCGTTGAGCCAGGGCAGTTAAAGTGGTGTCAAACTGCATTAATTCCACAGTATTGACCAAATATGGGAGAATGTGGGCCCTCCAGGTGTTTTGGACTCCAACTCCCACCATTCCTAACAGCCTCAGGCCCCTTCCTTTTCCCCCTCAGCCGCTTAAGCGCTTAAGGAAGGGGCCTGAGGCTGTTAGGAATGGTGGGAGTTGGAGTCCAAAACACCTGGAGGCTCAGAAAAATTATTATGCCAGTAACAGACACAAACAGGGTCGGGTTAAAAACGAGGACGCTGGTCCCGTTACCATTTTCTATTTAAAAGGTAATTAAATCCTCCCCCAATTGATTATTATGATTATATTTATATAATAAGGCCTTGACGCTCATCCAGGCCTCCCTTCCTTTCATGCTGACGTAATCCCCACACACTTCCAGCCCCTGAAATGGGAGGCAACGAGGAACCGGAAGTTGATACTACTAAGAAGCATGAAGACCGTAACTCTTGGATCCCTGCCCGTGTGGCTTGTAGGGGATTTACTTCCGGGGTAGGCTCCTGCAGGGGAATGTTTCCGGTTCGGCGGAGGTATTCAGAGCGTCGTGTTCCGCGGAGTCTGTCGCGATGGTGAGTCAAGGCTGGATGGCCGGAGGGAGGGAGTGAGAGATAGATAATAATAGTGGGATATGTGTTGTCGAAGGCACCAATTCTGGACACCACAATTGAAGGGAGGTATTGACAAGCTGGACTGTGTCCAGAGGAGGGCGACTAAAATGATCAAGAGCCTGGAGAACAAGCCCTATGAGGAGCGGCTTAAAGAACTGGGCATGTTTAGCCTGAAGAAGAGAAGGCTGAGAGGAGACATGATGAGGGCCATGTATAAATATGTGAGAGAAAGTCATAGGGAGGAGGGAGCAAGGTTGTTTTCTGCTGCCCTGGAGACTAGGATGCGGAACAATGGCTTCAAACTACAAGAAAGGAGATTCCGTCTGAACATGAGGAAGAACTTCCTGACTGTGAGAGCCGTTCAGCAGTGGAACTCTCTGCCCCGGAGTGTGGTGGAGGCTCCTTCTTTGGAAGCTTTTAAACAGAGGCTGGATGAATGGCCCATGACGTCTCTTCTGATTCTATGATTCTATGAAGGCTTTAATGGCCAGAATCACTGGGTTGCTGTGAGTTTTCCGGGCTGTATGGCCATGTATGGGAATGTTCCAGAAGCATTCTCTCCTTACATTTCTCCTACATCTATGGCAGGCACCCTCAGATGTTGTGAGGTCTGCTGGAAACGTAAGCATATATCTGTTAAATGTCCAGGGTGGGAAAAAGGACATTCCACAGATATATTATAAACCCCACTTGCCTAGTTTCCAACAGACCTCACAACCTCTGAGGATGCCTGCCATAGATGTGGGAGTAACATCAGAAGAAAATGCTTCTGGAGCATGACCAAACCACCTGGAAAACTCATGGCAACCCAGTATGGAATAGGCTGTGACCTTAAACAAATGTTCTTCCACATTTAGTCATATTTTTGTGTGCTAAGTATGTGCTATTCACTTTTAACAGATATTCCAATAAAGCAATTTCCATCCAGAACTCTTAATTTTAATTGAATAAAATATCTAAATCAACCCTCCTAAATCATAACAGGACAGTGGGAAATGTTCTAAAACCCTTTTCCATGTTGCTTTTTGCTCTCTCTCTCTCTCTCTCTCTTTGGTTTTTCTGAATAGCTGTGTCATTGCAACAAAGTTCTCTTCATATCCAGAAAATATGTTCATGGATTTCTGTCATCCAGCAAAATTCAAAATAAGATTACTTACTTTAAAACATTTAACATATTACCTTGTTACATCATCTGTTCCAAGATCTATACATACCCCCCAACATGATTCACATACTAATAAAAATACAGCTCTGTCAGTTCAATTACTTCTACTTATTCTAATTTCACCCATTACATATTATTATGTAATAAAAAGGTAATAATAAAAGGTAAAGGTTTCATAGCCCCCATGAACTGCCTCATGCCCTGGTACAGTTTGAGGAGGATGGACCATGGACGATGGGACTTGCAGTACTTTCACTCACTTCCTGAGACCACTGCAACCCTCATCCAATGACTAATCAAGACCAAACTTGGGAAACAGAGCCCCCATGACGCACTCTACATCCTATTGTGGTTTGAAGGAGGATTCACCATGGATGGTGGGACTTGCAGTACCTTCACACTTGAAGGTATTGCGTGGTCTGTCACTGGCCAAACCACACCAGGACATAAAGTGGGTTATGAGAGGGCTATGTGCCAAGTTTGGTCCTGCTGTGTGATTTGTGGGGGCCGCAGTGTTCCGTGGGAAGTTTCCCCTGACATTAAATCTAGTCGAGTCTGATTCTGGGGGGTGGTGCTCATCTCCATTTCTAAGCCGAAGAAACGGCGTTGTCTGTAGACGCCTCCAAGGTCATGTGGCCAGCATGATTGCATGGAGTGCTGTTACCTTCCTGCAGAAGCAGTACCCATTGATCTCACATTTGCATGTTTTCGAACTGCTAGGTTGGCAGAAGCTGGGACTAACAGCGGGAGCTTACCCTTCTCCTCGGATTCAAACTGCCGACACTATATTGCACTATATTTTCTAATTGTTCATCCACAATCTTTGATGTTTGGTTTGAATTTAACATTACAGGCAGTCCCTAAGTTACAAACATCCAACTTACAAACAACTCATAGTTAAGAACAGGGGTGAGACAACAGGAAGTGAAGGAAATCTACCCCTCAGAAGGGAAATTCACTGTTGAAAGAGTTATCATGGAAAAAAGATGTTGCCACTGGAGCTTTCTCACCAATCCTTGTTTCCACAACAAGCCATTTTTTTTTCAAAATCTAATTATCACAGGGACAGAAAGAGAGGTGATGTCTTCTGAACAGGGGCAGCGGCAGCAAAAAAAGCACCACATGGGTTTAAAGCCTTCCCTTTCCTATCCAAATATATCCCTTTGCTATCCAAATATCACACACACATACACATGTCTATAGTTACACTTTAAAAATGTACCTGTTCTGACTTACATACAAATTCATCTTTAAGAACAAACCTACAGAACCTATATTTTTGTAACTTTGGGACTGTCTGTACTTTTTCACATGTAGCTAATAAATTACTTCCATGCATTATGAAATAGATCTTCTTTTATTTCTCCCTTTGTTAATCTTAATTTATAGATTAATTTTTTTCCAATAGGGCTATAACCCATATCTTGTTTAACAAATTCTTTATTGATAAATTCTCTACCTTTTTCCAGGTTCTGACAAATTTGTGTCTTGCAGCACAAGAGATTTGCACTTACCAAATACTTATTCTTACTTACTTTCAAATATAACAGAAACAGTGGGACTTAATTTGGAAAACCCAAGCGTATAAATCAATTTAAGCACAACTGAGAGAAAATACTTTGAAAATTCTGCATAGATGGTACTGTATCCACTCAAACTTCATACATAAGCTACATAGAATTAAGAATGGGACCCCAAAATTATGTTGGAGAAAGTGTGGAGAAATAGGGGAATGGAATCACATGTGGCTAACATGCCCAAAAGTATGGAGATTCTGGGATGAAGGCCTATCATGGATAAAGCAAGTAGTAGGGGAAACAACACATTTCAGTGGGGCTCTACTAAAAATTCAAATGGGACTCAGAGCAATGGGTTTAAATTACAAGAAAGGAAATTCCACCTGAACATTAGAAAGAAATCCCTGACTGTAAGAGCTGTTCAACAGTGGAACACCCTGCCTTGGCGTGTGGTGGAGGCTCCTTCCTTGGAGACTTAAGCAGAGGCTGGATGGCCATCTGTTGGGGGTGCTTTCATTGTGTTTTTCCTGCATGGCAGGGGTTGAACAAGGTGGCCTGTTGGCTCTCCCAACTTTATAATTCTATGAAATGCACATCACAGTTATAACTTTAAAAGGCCAACCAAAAGGTGCAAAATATGTTATGCTATCACTGGTACTGCAATCCCAATCCATATACATAGATCTGTGATGATTATTCTCAAAAATTTATTCTCAACAATCTATCATTGGTTTTTGGCATGGCATTTTGCCTCACTGCTTTTCTGGTACACAGATAAATGATGCTATTGCCGCTTATACTCTGGGTCCTGCTCCCAAGACCACAAGGGAGCAGTATTCAGCCACTCATGATCTCTTAATTGCAGAATTGCTGCAACACATATCCCCATATCATGTCAGTCCCAACTATAGTTCCGTCTTCATGATGCACTTTCCCTCTACTTTAATGAAGCCTCAATCCCATTGTTCGCCCCTTCTGAGCTCCCCTACAGACACATACTTCTCCATTTATTTATCTCACCCAGGGTTTTTTCAATCTTATTCTGTGCATTTGGCCCGCCCACCATGCTTTTATTTTATTTCTTCATCACATTATTTTGCATCTGTTTATTTCATTTTCTGTTATTTTCTGTATTTTATTTTGATGTTATAATTTGCTGTTTGCATTTTATTTTATTTTGTTGTACTGGCCTCATGTTAGCCGCCCTGAGTCCCCTTTGGGGAGATGGTGGCGGGGTATAAATAAAGTTTTATTATTATTATTTATTCACTGGGCCTCCAATATATTACATTCCTAGAATTTTAAAACATGTTCTGTATGCTAGGCTGAACTTTACCCCTCATCGTTTCTATTTATCTGTAGCTTTTATTTCCTATTCTCAGTTTAACAGACATGATTCTATTGATTCTATCATGTGTTTTGGTGGAGTACTGAATATGATGAAAGTAACAGTATTTAACTGGCTTCCGTGGTGCTGGTTCAGCTTGCTGTAAAGTTCGGAGCGGCGACTTTTAGAAATTTATACCATTATTTAAAGGTGATAATACTTTGAAGTGTAATAAACTTCAAAAGGTGTGTTATTTGTTGGACTGTTTGTGCTCAGTTCATAAACATCCAATGTATGAGCTAGCAAAATGTTCAATAAAAATAAAGATAAACTTGGATTTTATATAAATGCTTCAGATATAGTCAAAAGCATTCCTCGGGAAAGATATTTTAGTGTAGTTTGATATGGTGTTCAAGTTGTCAGGTATATATGTGCCTTTTAAGCTTTCTAGCTGTAAAATACATTGTGTTAAAGTGTACCTCCTCTAAAACTGCTGAATTTTTGGCAACCTGGTGATACTGGGACTGATAAATGAAACCTATTTTGATTTGATTTAATAAATGTAAATCTGGAATTGCCTGAACAGCCAGGGCTCTGTGGTTATCTATGCAGAAGTATTCACATTACAATTTATAGGTATATTTTAAAAAACAAAATCGTTCTCTCTTCTATTTCTTTAGGCTCGAAATGCGGAAAAAGCCATGTAAGTACCATATGAATCTTGGATTTCTGTCAGAATAGGTTGTCTGCCTTTTAACAGCTGAGCTATCTGCTGTTTTAAATCCACACAAAGGAGCTCTTTTATTATTAAAATGTCTATATTTTCTCTATATATTCATCTTTGCCTGTACTTACTAATTATATTTTGTGCACAGAGCGTGACATTCAGCTGTTGTTTGCTGAAACTGATTAATTTAATCTCTTCTGTTGCCTCTGTAGCAAAGTGTCAAAGCTATGTGATACATTATGATTATTATAGTTGCAGGTTTTTGGCAAGAGTGCATCCATTTCCATATACAGAATACTCAACATTTTAGCTGAGGCCTAGTTGCTCTGAGTTCTCTGTAAAATAAACCACAGAAACTAATAGATGTTGAATTAAATGTTCTTCCTTGTAGGACGGCCTTGGCCAGATTTCGCCAGGCTCAACTGGAAGAAGGAAAAGTTAAGGTAACTACCGCAATGTGTTTATTTGGAAGATGCACAAGACCCTTTGGAGATACACACACACACACACACACACATTTAAATGTTTTCCCTAGAATTAAGCTGAAGTGTCTCTTGCCTCATCATTTATCTTTACAACACAGAGCCCAAAACTGTATAATAATGGTAAAAAAACGAATGATTAATCTAGGAACTGTATGCATTCTTGTATCATTTGTGTTTGTAGGGTGCCATAATTTAGAAAGGGCTCAATTTGAAATAGTTTTGTGAATGTGTTGAGTAGCCAGTGCACAAATTTAGAAGTAAAAGATGTAAACGGACTGATGTGGATGAAAATAATACAGCGAAGATGTTAGAAATAGCTTTGCGATCATCTTGTTGGCTCTTTTTATGTGACCACACACATAGAAGCCTTTTACTTACACAATTTCTCAGAGCAAAATTTGAGAAGGCCAAAGTCATATGCCTCTATAGTAAGAACATTCTTCTAAACATTTGAGCACGGAGATGGTTGTCTTTCATTGAAGTGATTTGATTTAATCATATGCTCTTGCATGCCATCTTCCATGTTTATACAAATAAAACTGGAAGAGAGTCGTTTTACTTTTGGTCATTGTCTTATCGGAGAATCAATCATTGAGCATTTTTTGTCCTTGGAACAACTCGAGTTTTGCACATGATAACCATGCTGTACTACTGCTGGGCAGGCATGTGATTCCTCATTACAGCTTGGATGCATCAAAGTTAGCTTGTAAGAACATGAGAAGAGCCATACTGGATCAGTCCAGAGGCCTATTTAGTCCTGTATTCAGTTCACACAGAGGACAACCAGATTTCCGTAAGGAACCCAGAAGCAAGAGATGAGTTTTCTCTCATCTCCCCTTCATATATTCCAGCAGTTGATATACAGAGGTATCCTGCCTCCAATGCCAAAAAGACTATAAACCCACCATGGCAAGTAGCAACTGATAATCCTATAGAAATTTTTCCAGTCTCCTTTTAAGGTTATCCAGTTGATAATACCATATTTTGTTATAGCAAATCCATAATGCAAACAGTGTAAGACAATATTGCTGTTAATTTTGTTTTTATGTTGGCTTTTGAGATTTTCTAGGTATTCAGTATAGGTTGACTTGAATACATATTCAGCCTGAGTGACTATAAGTTGTACATGAAGAGAGAGTGATAGTATCACATTTCTTTCAAACAGGAGCGAAGGCCCTTCCTTGCATCAGAATGTAATGAGCTGCCTAAAGCTGAGAAATGGAGGCGACAGGTATTTGCTGATGGTTGTGGTGGGGCAAATTTTAAATAATATTGTTAATATGTAAATCAATGTTTGCTAGGATAGTTTTAGCTTCTGTTCAGTAGTATTTCTTAAAGTAATGTTCATGTGTTTTGTGACCCTGATATATAATTGGAAAGTTTCTGAATTATTAAGAGGATAGTAGTAGTAGTAAATCTTTATTTGTATCCCACCTTTCTCCCACAAAGGGACCCAAAGCTGCTTACATCATATTAAAAACAATACAAGTCCAACAATCATCATATATAACACATACAACTGTTTATAAACTAAAACATAAATAGCATTTAAAATACAATCTTGTATAGTCTCATCGAATCGTATTGCACTTCACTCACCTTGAAAAAAGTTGGCCTTCCTATCCCTCAGACTATTTTGCATCTCTGAAGGATTGCTTAAACAGAAAGGTTTTGAGCTATTTTTTAAAAAAATGACAAGGAAGGGGCTGTTTTAATTTCCTTGGGGAGGGAGTTCCAAAGGGTCGAGGTGGCAACCAAGAAGGCCCTCTCTCTCGTTGCCATCACCTGCATTTGTGATGGTGGTGGCAGCAAGAGTAGGGCTTCTCCTGATGATCTTAGTGATCAGACAGGTTGCTATGAGGAGATGAGAAGGAGATTTTTATATTTCAAATTAAAAGAGAAGAGCATGACCAAGGAAGCTTTTATTTTGGAAGGTATATCTAAACCAAAACACTTCAGAGTCTATATTAAAATGCTGAACTCATTTATAAACAAAGAAGAAATTAAAATCTTGTCATTAAGATGGGTCTACAGTTCTATCCAGTGATGCTGTCACCTAAAGACATTAAACCTGCAGGGAAAAATTAGGAATATAGGCATTCTTTGAAATGAAAACAATCTAGATTTCAGTTTGGCTTGGCATATTATAATAGAAGCCCCTAGTGGTGTAGTGGGTTAAACCACTTAGCTGCTGAACTTGCAGACTGAAAGGTTGGCGGTTCGAATCCAGGGAGCGGTGCGAGCTCCCGCTGTTAGCCCCAGCTTCTGCCAACCTAGCAGTTCAAAATATATGCAAATGTGAGTCAATCAATAGGTACTGCTCTGGCGGGAAGGTAATGGCCCTTCCTGTCAGCCACATGACTTTGGAGGTGTCTACGGACAACGCTGGCTCTTCGACTTAGAAATGGAAATGAGCACCAATCCCAAGAGTCATACACGACTGGACTTAATGTCAGGGGAAGCCCGTTTTAATGGCTTGATCCCAAGTAGAGTATAAAGGTCAGGCTGAAATGGTGGGAATCCATTGTTTCATATGGGATGCATCATCGTACAACAGGGCAGTGGGGATATTGCTGTTGAGATGATGGGATTCCCATCTCCTCACCCATGTCAAGAGTAGTAGTGTTGCCTCCCCATCCTATGTCTTATAGTTCTGGATTTCATATTATTTATCATGACCACCATCTGCCAGAAGATTTTCGATGCACGGCATAAGGCAGAGTTACATAGCTTGTAACATTAGCATCTCTTGTTTGTGGCGCCTGAAGCTTGAGGGAACACAGGAACATCCTAGCCACTTCAGTGTCTTCTGAGATCTCTGTAAGATTGTGTGGGATTAACCCTTTTCTGGTAAACTCCAGTGAAGAGGATGTGATGCTTTTTGGAAACTGAACAGTTCCTCCTGTGAGTTAGAAGAATTTTATAGGAGTGATAGATTCTTATGAAAGCTTAAACTATAAGTTATGCAACAAGTCCTGTTGTAGAATAGGTATTAACAAGCAGCACACACATCTAATGGCATTTTTTTCTGGGCTAAAACCTGTAGGATATGAATTAGAACATGGTAGAGATACTCTTTATTAAAAGTTGACAGAGCAGAAAATTTAAGATAATAACATGAGACCTATCTTCTTTCATTTGACTTGGGAGGATGATTTTTGCCAACTTGCCTCTCCATCTATAGCTCTCTTCATATTCTGCACCATAACACACGCCATTCCTAAAGGAGTCGCAACTCTGAGGAGCAGGTTTTCAAGGAGGGCAGGAATTAATGCAAAGGAAAGAAAGAAGTGGGAAACCCTCATTCCTTTAATTTCTTCCTCTTCCATAATTCTTTAACACAGTGAACTGGGTTTTAACAAAAATTAATTTGTTTCTATAGACTCCTATGATACACTTCTAAAATGGTTATTGCTAGTCATTGAAAGTAACAACATTTTATAATGCATCTGTCACTCTCTCTGTTTCTCAAGATTATTGGTGAAATATCCAAGAAGGTGGCACAAATTCAAAATGGTGAGTTCTTAGTAAGAGGAAATACCAATACATAAATAGTGTGCTTTTCATCTAGATGGCTTAAGGCTGTACAGTGTTCCCTCACTTATCGCGGGGGTTCCATTCCAGGACCTCCCGCGATAAGTGAAAATCCGTGAAGTAGGCACACTAATATGCATTTTAAATATATATTTTATATGTTGTTTTAATATCAGAAATGCTTTGCCCAACTTGCCGGGCAAGGGTCGTTGCAGTGGTGGGTGCCCTCTTGCCAGCCATGCTGTTTTCAGGGGGCTTCTTCTTCCCAGAAGCCCCCTCCATAGTGGGAAGTTTCCCACTGCTTGGCCAGCTGGCCAACCAGTGGCAGGCCCCACCCCGCCCCTGGGTTGGTCGGGGCCGGCTTCCCTTTGCAGGGCAACCGTGGGGCTCTGTGGCAGCCAGAGCCGGCTTCCCCACCTTGCCCCGGCAGCCCTGCAGAGCAAGGTGATGCAGCCAGCCCTAGCCAACCAGCGGCAGGCCCCACCCCGCCATTGGATTGGCTAGGGCCGGCTTCCCCACCTTGCCCTGGCAGCTTTTGCAGGGCTGCCCTGGGCCTCTGCAGGGCTCTGTGACCTCCGCAGGGCTGCCGGGGCGAGGTGGGGAAGCCGTCCCTAGCCAATCCAGGGGCGGGGCCTGCTGCTGGTTGGCCAGCCAGCCAAGTGGCAGGAAACTTTCCTACAGACAAGGGGCTTCTGGGAAGAAGAAACCCCCTGCAAGCAGCGGTTCACTTTCCGCAGACTCTCTGTTTAGCGGATAGGGTTGAGAATTAATATTTTTAATATATTTTTTATATTTTGTGATTTTAAAACCACAAAATGTGTAAAAATGTATTAAAAATATTCTCAAACCTAACTGTGAAACAGCGAGTCCACGGGAAGCAAACCACGAAACAGCGAGGGAGCACTGTACTTTATTTTTCTTTTGCCTCCTCATATTGTATTGATGAAGGAACTGTTACTGTAGAGCACCTAGAATTAAGCTGCTGAAGGAAAGGGGTGCTGGATTCTTTGAATAGCTGTCATCCTGGTAGTAAAAGCTTCCTTAAAAAGAAACACACCCTAGTCATGGATTGCATAATGGGCAGATTTTTTGCTGCTGCTGTGTCTGCTTCAATTTAAGGCATATCCAAGTCTTCAGTAATTGTTTTCAATCAACATGTGAGAGCACAGAAATCCTGTGATATTCCATCATTTCTACTACATTCTGTATGTGGAGGGATAACAGTCTGAAGTAGAAGGCCTCCATTAACCGTGGAAGCTTTTCATGTAATTTGATACCTGATTTTCCAGGGTTCCATATCATATGGCGTTCCTACTTAGATACAGGAAGTATTTGGGTCAGAAAGCAATACTTTGTGCAGAGAGGGTGGAAAGCATCTAGCACATCTCCTCCTCTTTGCATGTTTATTCATCATGCTTAGTTAATGTATAAAGTAGGCTATGGTTGAGCTGTGGCTCTTTGATTTCTTAGCAGAATGTATTAGAATGCAACTCTCAACACCACCCTAAGTAGCATTTACCTAGAAGCAAAGAGACACTGTAGAATTTCAGAACCGGGCATGTTGTTTTTTAAAATCTTAAATCTTTCCCCTTTCTTCCTTAAACTAGCTGGTTTAGGTGAATTCAGAATCCGTGACTTGAATGATGAAATTAACAAACTCCTAAGAGAGAAGGGACATTGGGAAGTCCGAATAAAGGAATTGGGAGGACCTGATTATGCAGTAAGTTTGCAACAATAATCAGAATGCTTGTAGAAAAGTACAAATGTGTCTGTCGTAAATAGCTAACTAAATCTTGAGGGTTGCATAAATGGCTGCCCATATATGTAGAGTATTATTTCAGTGACTGTCATATGGTCAGCAGTTCATATTATTATTTCTTTGTAAAATTGTACTGATTTTGACCATGCTATTGGGATTACACACTGCCCTAGTCTTGTAATGTTCTGATTGCAGATTATGGCTGGAATCCTGTTGGTGACATATATAATTAGCATAATTTTTGTTAAAATAGTGGAGACAGACAGATGACAGAGATAGCTGTCCTGCCATCTCCCAGGCTGCTCTGGAGCCAGCAAGACAGCTTTCCCATCTGAGAGAGATGGCTTTTGCTGTTGTTCCTTTTTGCCACATCACTTGCTTCCATTTTATCCCTCTGCTACACTTCTGCTCATAGTTATTCCGGCCAACAACATCACAGCCCCTATTGAGTAATAGATTATAACTATGGGTTTACTCTCTCTTTTCTTATTTTTGAAGAGAGTGGGTCCCAAAATGCTTGATCATGAAGGAAAAGAAGTTCCAGGAAACAGAGGCTACAAATACTTTGGAGCTGCTAAAGACTTACCTGGTGTCCGAGAGCTTTTTGAAAAAGAACGTAAGTGCTTGAGTGTGTGCATATGAATAAATGCAATTCAATAAGAAGTATAAACAAGTATCATGTCACTCATCAATATTAAGTATATTGTGTCTTAATCTCATGTTCAGAACTATCTTCAGTTAATAAATTATAAATTCTTATTCCATCTCATAGTGACAACAGTATACATGCAAAGTTTGTCTTTTCTAGAGAAAAATGTATGAAAAAATTATGAATATGAAAATGAAACTCGGGACTTAATTGTGTATTTGGAAGAAGAGGAAAATAGACACATAGTCTATGGATCCCTTTCCACAGGCCGTGACTACTAAATGCTAGGAGAGTAGCATTTAGTAACATCTGTTCTTCAGTTTGATAATTTTGGTTTATTCCTTTAGCTCTCCCGCCTCCAAGGAAGACACGAGCTGAACTAATGAAAGCTATTGATGCAGAATACTATGGATACAGAGATGAGGATGATGGTGTTCTAGAGCCATTGGAACAGGAACATGAGAGGAAAGGTATATATAAGTTAACTCTAAGTCATTAACTTTAATGCCATTTACAGGTGTCCCAAACTTGTTACTTGTAATATAAATATAAAGATTAGTTGTTTCCAAAGGGTTCATGATAATTAATGTTGGGTATTGCTTACATATGATGTTAGCCAGAATATCCTTACATATGATGTCTGCCAGGCATGAGGCATTTTCTGTTTTTGATTGATGCTACTCATTAGGCACCCCAGCAGTTCTGTTTGCTTTTGCTCTGTTATGAGCCATGTATCACAGCAATCTGTATGATAGCAGGTAAGATCATTTGTGTATTTTGCCCATTATTTTCTGTTCTGGAAGTCAGTGGCTAAGCATAAATCTTTCCTTTTGCATGCTGCCTGGTCTCTCCCTAACCCCAGGTTTTAAATGCCAGGGTTGAACCTCAAGCCTTTTGCTTGCAAAGCATTTATTCAATCACTGATTATGTCCTCTTCCTACAAATCAAGTTCTTGCTGAGATTTATGGGCCTAAAACTTTTTTTGAAATAAAATAAAAGCCTGTTCACACCACCCTTGCTTACACTTAATAAAATAAGTAAGCACCAATATCTTGGAGCAAAGGCTTTAATTTCTGTGCCATAGGCTATGATATTTACAAAACTAAATACATATTTCTGTTTTTGTTTTTTTAAGTGTGTGCAAACTTCTTTTTTTTATAAGATGAGATTTTGATATTATACCTGGTTTTTTGAGCAGTTCAGAAAATGTATGATAATTTGTCAGTGTACTTGTCTGAGTCTACGTCTCTGACAATACGCTGCAATGCATTGATGTTTTTTATGCTGCTGGGGATCACATGGGTGTGTAGGAAATTAGTTTATGTCTTTTAGAAATGAAAATTAGATGAGTTATGCAGAGGAAATAAATAAGTTGCTGCTATTGATTATGTCGAAGCATGTAAATCAGTGAATACTGTACTTTCAAAGAGTTTTGTTCTTGCCGTCATTCCAGGACTTTTAATTAATGTACTCCTCTTCAATTTTGCCTATTAAGTTCAGTAAATTGTACAAAATTGGTTGTGTCTTTCATAAACAGACACACTCGTAATCAGTGACTAGATCCTTTTCAAAACAATTTGTCCATTCATTTTACTGGCAGACTGTATTACATGGTGCATGGGATTTGCAGGATGTACCTAATGAGACTTGAGTTAGTTGACTTTTTGTCCTCAGAGACCTAATTTAAAAGAAAAGGTTGATAAAGCACTAATTTGTATAAAATATATCCCTCTATTGGCCAACATTAGACAGGTATATGGGCGGGATATGGTTTTGAAGGACTGACAGGACAAGCTAAAACAGGGGTCCTCAAACTAAGGCCCGGGGGCCAGATGTGGCCCTCCAAGGTCATTTACCCGGCCCTCCCTCAGGGTCAATCTTAAGTCTGAAATGACTTGAAAGAACACAACAATCCTATCTCATCAGCCAAAAGTAGGCCCACACTTCCCATTGAAATATTAATAATTTTATATTTGTTGAAATTGTTCTTCATTTTAATTGTTGTATTGTTTTAACTGTTTTTGCACTACAAATAAGATATATGCAGTGTGCATAGGAATTCATTCATTTTTTTTAAAATTATAATCTGGCCCTCCAACAGTTTGAGGGACTGTGACCTGGCCCTCTGTTTAAAAGGTTTGTGGACCCCTGAGCTAAAGCATGGTCACCACTTTCCCAAATGTTTGTTCCTATCACACGAAATGTTGATGATATAGGCATTGATCCCAGACCATGACTATATCAGACTTCCTTCATGTCCTAGGAAGATGTTCTAGGAAGAGTCACCCAGCTGTGAACCTCTTTTCAAACTTTGTTCAGTTTTGTCATGTAGGACTGGGTCTAATCTTATATATCTCGGCTGTGTTTATTTTGCTTAAGCCTCTTTGTAAAACAAAAGACAATTCAAACAGCCTGAATTTAGACATTCTATTGATCCCAATTGCTCTTGCTTCCAGGTTAAATTGGATTGGATTGTGGTCTGATTTAACAAGCCATGACTCTCCTTTCAATTGCTAATTGGAGTACATAAAGATGACAGGCATTTGTATTGGGACAGATGGCAACTCAAGACAGTGTTTCTAATGTTGCTTCATATTTTTCCCATTTTATCTTGACTTAGATTTTGAAATAATAGAGCATAATTTCTCTAGGAAGAAAAAAATTCCCAAAGCCAGATTAATTTCCTGGAGAAACGAGTAATGGGTAGTGCAGATATTAAACATACATATATCTAAGTGCAAAAGGGACTATATGTGTGTCCATGGTTCATGAAACTGAGCAGTCTTCCTCTATCTTACATACAAAGACCACTGGATTAAAAATAAATCAAGAAAATAATGCTTTTGAAGATAATACCAACAACTAGTGCCTTGGTGTCTGCATGTTGTATATGCCTATGTTTAATGCTTTCAATTATTTAAATTTATAACTATATGTCAGTATTTAGTTATTGTGATTTTATTTTATTATATGTATGTTGGCATTGAATTATTGCCATTAATATGTTGTAAACCACCTTGAGTCCCCCCAGGGGTGAGAAAGACAGTATATAAATATACTAAATAAATAAATAAACTAGCTATCTTTAAAAATTATTTCCGGCTTTTACTATTGCTGCACTACTTGAATTTGTTAAATTTAGATTTTCTATGTAAGAGGGAGGTTGCATTGTCCAAATATCAGAACTGATTTTTAAAGAGGGAAGGAACTCCCTAAGATATTTATAGTACCATTCAATGAGATAAAGAAACCATTTGTATCTCAGCATGACTGACTTCAGGTCGAAGAAAGCGACAGAACCTCTGTTGTTCATACTGAGTTAAAATGTATCTTTAAAAATCTATGCTCCTAAACGTTAGAATTATAATTATGTTGGAACATTTTGCTGGTATAATTATGCCAGAATAGAAGATCACAGCAGGAGTAAAGAGACTGAGGGTGCAGGGACCATAAAGGAATAATAACATTGCAAAAGTAGGTGCTTGGGGCCAGCAGGATGTCTGATGCCTTTTTTCTCCAATATATGATGCTGGGAAAAAGGGGGAAATGAACAGCATTCTATATTATTTTTCTTATGTGGAGATTTTGGATGGTAGGGTTACAGCTTCACAATAAATTGAGATCTTCATGTCCTCCAATTTCCTGTTTAACCCTCTAACAAGATAGGTGAAATAAAATGGGCTTTGCATAAGAGGGGCTATGGTGGTGCAATGGGTTAAACCATTGAGCTGCAGAACTTGTTGACCGGAATCCATGGGATGGGACGAACTCCCACTGTTAGCCCCAGCTCCTGCCAACCTAGCAGTTCAAAAACATGCAAATGTGAGAAGAACAATAGATACTGCCTCAGCGGGAAGGTAAACAGCTCTCCATGCAGTCATGCCGGGCACATGACCTAGGAGGTGTCTACAGACAACGTAGGCTCTTTGGCTTAGAAATGGAGATGAGCACCACCCCCAGAGCCGGGAATGAAGGAGAAGCCTTTACCTTTATCTTTGTATCAGTGTTTTATTATTTCAAGGCATTGAATGTTTTCCTTGTGTCTGTTTATGCCTGTATATTCTGTTTATGCCTGTATATCCAATCTCTCCCTGCATTCTCTTGGAGAGATTGGACAGAATACAAATAAAGTATTATTATTATTATAAGAGTGTAATGACATATGTCATTAAGAAATGATATAATTGTTTACAAGTCACAGAAAATAGCATATTTTCAGTTCCTAGCTGGGAGTCCTGAGAAAATGGCCTCTTGCAGTTTGTCTATTATTGAGTTTCATTGTTCTTAAAACTTGTTTCTTGTGAGATATAAATTCACCATGTTTTGTGGACACTTCACAATCTGTTAAGTGAACTCCAGCCTACGGAAGATATCTTTTGTTTTATATACATTGCCTTGTATAGTCACAGGTACTTCTTGGTTCATCGCTTTACACAGCTGGAAGGGAGCAACTTCTTCTAAACTTCAGCAATGACCCAATAGAATTAAAGATTTAACAACTCTTAAATAAAAAGGAAAGATAATAATTTTAAAGCTAAGTCACTGAGCACAAACAAATATAATCAAGCAATAAAGAATTGGGCATTTATGAATAGAGGTCACAGTTCATAACCTTGTGCAGTTGTTTAAGTAGCACTAAAGGTGAAATATTAATAATGTTTTCTAAAACTAAAACCCTTTAGAACTTAGCATATCACTTGTTATCAGTGTAATCATGTTATGGTTAAATACTGTCAACTCAACTTTGACTTAACATGATCCTATAAATGAGAGACCTCCAAAATTGCTCAGTCATCAACTGCTCTGATCAGGTCTTGGAGAATCAAGGCCATAACTTCAATCTACTTGTAATGTGGACTTGCTCTTTTTTTCTATTGCCTTTGACCTTTCAATTGTTTTTCCTATTGAGTCATCTTGACTTCTCAGGAGAGTTCAGGCTTCTCATGCTCCAGGGACCATTGTATTTGATTTTTTAGCCGTCATTGATATAAAAGCCAAAGAAGTGTTAGCAAAAATGGTTACCTGAAGAAAACAAAGCTATATGTTTACACAACTTGGATCAAAATATACTAAATAACACTGTACTAAATAACCAGCCAAATTGCTGGTGATTAACTGAGAGAGTGAATATAATATAATCAAATTTCCTGATTGGATCGAGTTGCAGAATTAGATCATTCAGAGCTTAGTGATCAGTCCCAAAAAATACAATCTAACAAATAAGCAAAAACACAATTTTTATTTAAAACCCCATAAAATTGCATACTTAAAAATTCTTAGTCTGTCTCTTATTTTTTGCTTTTATATGAAAACAGCCGATATGTTGGAACAGATTTTTCAGCATTTGACTTGGATCAAGTAGCCTTAGCTTGAAATCCTCACTGCAATGTACCTATTCTCTTTAGCCTTAAAGGTGGCTCTTGATTTAGAACTGTGTATTTCCTCGAGCTTTTTGTAGATTTATTATAAGGTTTCCCTAGTTGTATTCTTCAGGATGCCTTCTATATTATTATTATTATTATTATTATTATTATTATATTTATTTATTTATACCCCACTTTATCTCTCCTGCAGGAGACTCAAAGCAGCTTAACATAAAAGCATCAACATACAATTTAAAATATGCAAATATGCAAACATTAGAACAGTCTTTAAAAATCCCCAGTTAAAAATCATTAAAACGTATTCAAAGTTGAAAAACCACAGTCATCTATAGACGTAATATAGTGTTCCCAGGAGAAGCAGTACAAGTAAGGACATATATTCAAGAGATGCCAACATTGTAACTTCTTGATTCTTTCTATCATTTGATCCAAGCCATTTGGAAGTTCTAGTTTTCATTCTGGTTCAAAAATAATTTAAAATGTATAGCTGAAAACCTATCACATCAAGTTTTAGGAGCTTAGATTATTTGACACAGTTCTTGAAAACTGTTATTTTTAACTGTTCCAGTTATTGCGGAAGCAATGGAGAAGTGGAAAGTAGAGAAAGAGGCACGACTTGCAGGAGGTGACAAGGAAGAAGAAGAGGAGGAAGTAAACATATATGCAGTCAATGATGATGAGGTATAGTATTTTTCAGTTCATATTAGTGACACACCTAGAACTCCTATCAATAATAGTGTATCATGAACTTTAAAGAATTCACTAATAGTAAAATCTAGAGTCATATATCTCCTTGCACACTTTGATAGACCTGGATATCCCAGTGTTTTCGCATAAGTCATAGATGGGGGAGCAAATGACTTTTTGGAATGGTAGAACTACTGTACATCTTCCATCAACTCTTACCATTGTCTATGTTAGATTTACAATCTAACAGTGTCTGAGAGTCATACACTTAATACACTAGGCGTATACAATTTTGTTCTCCCTCTTCTGCCTGCACAAACCATGGTTGGATAATGTAATAGAGGATGCTCATTCTATAGGGAAGAGTGGAATTCACACCACTTGCAGACTGCACAAGGCCCCCAAGGGGTACTTTTACAACTTCTGCTTCCCTCTCAGGACACTGTGCTATATATTTGGGTTGGGGAGATAAGGATTCCCACTCCTTGAGCACTCTGTGAGTATTGGTTTGCCTTTTAAACAAGGGGGAGCTTTCTTCTTGCTGTTGTGTTGTTCTTCCCTACACAGTGTGTGTTTGCACTTTCAAGTTTGCACTTTTACCAACATATGGCAACCCTATGAATTTCATAGGGTTTATTTAGGCAAGGAATACGCAGAGGTGGCTTTGCCAGTTTCTACAACATCTATCCTTATTCTATTTTTTTAAAAACGGAGGCATAAAAGCAAAAGTGAATTGCTGTCTAATTTAGTTTTGGTTTTTTGTAGCAGAGATCCCTGACCTCTAGAGCTTGCCTGCTCCTCTTATAAGGGGACAGTTTAGCCACCAAATAAGAATTGCTACTTCTTACATTGGGGTAAATTAGTGAGACATGTTTTCTTTTCTTTTTCAATTCTGGGTTTTTTTAAAATAGTGTTTTAATTTTTACTCAACACCTTGCTTTTTAGTGAGCTACATCTTAACTTCATCCTACTTTATGTTCTATGAAATTGTTGAACTCCACAAAGCTATTATCTGATGCACTCCATGCTGTGTGGATAAACTAGAAATGTGAATATTGAATGAGGGAAATATTTCATGTGTGACAGAATTGTGTGGTGATTTGTCAGACTGTAAGAAGAGCCCTGGGTCAAACTGCAGGATTTTTGTAGACATTCTGTGTTCACTGCTTCTCTTGCAGTTGCTCAGACGTCAGTGATAAGGCCCCCATATGTCATAGGCCTTAAGGTTGTTCCTAGAAAGGAATGTCACCAAGCTTGTTTTCAAAATGGAGGTGATATGCCCTGTACAATAACGTAGGAGTGTATGTAATCATGTTACTTACTTCCTGGGATGTATTGAAGCAAGCATGGCAGCGAATCAATATGTTCTGAATGTCTTGTAGTCTGATGAAGAGAGTGGAAAGGAAAAAGAAGGCGAAGATAGCCAGCAGAAATTTATTGCACATGTCCCAGTGCCATCACAACAGGAGGTAAGAAATAAACTAAAAACACAAGTTGTACAGTTACTTTATTCTGCTGTGTCAAAATCAGGAAGCTTATATTAAAGGTATCAGATTTATTGCAGGGTGTACACTTTAGGCTAGAGCAGGCATGGGCAAACTTTGTCCCTCTGGGTGTTTTGAACTTCAACTCCCACCATTCCTAACAGCCTCAGGCCCCTCAGGCTTAAGCAGCTGAGAGGGAAAAGGAAAGGGCCTGAGGCTGTTAGGAATGGTGGGAGTTGAAATCCAAAACATCCAGAGAGACGAAGTTTGCCCATACCTGGGCTAGAGCCTTCACTTGCAGATTTGTTTCAAAAAGAGAAAATGGGAGCCAAAGGTAGGGATTTTCTTCTGGCCACAAAGTGGAATTTGATTTTGGAGAGACAATTGAGGGTTGTATTAAAGATGTAGCAAAAATACCAGCCTATGTTCGCTCATAAGTGACAAAATCTAGGAGAGATACTCCAGAATGTAAGAATGTAGGAAAAAGTTAATGAAAAATATGGGATGCCATGAAGGGTGGGTCACAGGTGAAGGATTATAGTCATCTGGGGAGCCCTGAAACCAGGAAAATAAAAGGTTCAGATTTGGCCATTGGGCCTGATATTCCCTGCTCTTGTTATGAGCCATGAAACCAGACGGGCATGTGCGCTTCAGCTTAATTCATGCCAAGTAAGGAAAAGAAAGCACTGTCAAACGATTTGAAGACTAGAAAGCACTTGACAACAGCTGCTAAACTACTACTAAAGAACTGAAGCAGAGAAAGAGCTAAAGCAAATGTTTCTTGTGGATCTGAACTGAAACTGCAGTTCCAAAAAAAAAAACCAAAAAAAAAAAAAAACGCTTTCAATGCACTTTCAAAGTCACCCAGTACTCTGGCAATTGGAAGTTCCAGTTCTGGTTTGTGGCACATTGATGTTTGCTGTTGGGAAAACAAGTTACAGTTTCCCACTAACCAGAATTGGATATCCAGTGTGAAAGCAGGCAGAGGGATGCATACAAGCCGAAGTCAATGATCTCATTCTTAGAATGCCAACATATGGCTTGCGCATAATTATCCTTAACCACTATTTAGCATCATGAGGGCAAGCCACATGGAAGAGATCAAAAGCATCCATTTAGATTAACCACATCTTGGTTTATCTTAGCTATAATTTGTTCATACAGGCATGTTTCATAGTTTGTGTGTTTGTGTAATTAAGATCAGTGGTGAGAATTAAATGTCCTTCTACATGTAGTCGAATTGCAGCCCCCAGCATTCCTCACCATTGGTTATTTGGGGTGTTTGCTGGGACTGAACACATATATGTAGATTGTTATGAATTACTGTGTATCTTGGGGCTCAAGTTCACTACTTTATGTCAATTCAGGATATTTACAAAGAGGGCTGACATTTCCTAACAACACTGCATATAACATGTGTTTGTTCACAGGCCAAATTTGCTCCTGACAATGTTTAATGATTAATTTATTGGTTTCCGAAAATTGTGACAGTGCCATGCTGACCAAAAAGGCAGTAACTTTTAAAAACAGTAATGATCAGGACATCAGCAGTAATTTTTGACACCTTGTTATAGTAGATAGTTCATTCTTTGGCATTTCTGATAGTAGATCAAGAAACAAATAGAGTTTCAGCATTTCTCAAAACCCTATGTTCTTTATGTCCAGATCGAGGAAGCTCTGGTCCGAAGGAAGAAGATGGAACTGCTTCAGAAATATGCCAGCGAAGCTCTTATGGCTCAGAGCGAAGAGGCTAAAAGGCTTCTTGGGTTGTAGTACATCTTGGGTTACTTTGGTTTTTATAATCCATCCAAAGGCAATAAATGAAAGTCTGAGGACGTCATCACCCTAGAGCAGTGGTTCTCAACCTGTGGGTCCCCAGGTGTTTTGGCCTACAACTCCCAGAAATCCCAGCCAGTTTACCAGCTGTTAGGATATCTGGGAGATGAAGGCCAAAACTTCTGAGGACCCACAGGTTGAGAACCACTGCCCTAGAGAATGGACCCACTTTGAATCTGGTTGCTGCCTTATGCAGAATTCTGGGGTTTGTAGTTTAACAGTCTCACTAAACTACAAACCCCAGAACTCTAACAGGAAGCAAAAACTGAATTGAAAGTGGATTCATTCTCTAGTGTGATGAAGTAGCGAGAGAAGCTTCTTAAAGTACTTTGGTAACACAGAAATTGTATACTTGTTGCAAACGGTGAACAAGAGGGGTTATTTTTCTTCCTAAGCATATATTACTATCCTAATCCATGACTTTGTCTCCTGTTTTCAGTTTCTGTACCTAAGTAACCCATAGTGACTGGCTGGTTTGTTTTTGAGCCCTTTTTCTCTCATTACTTCCCCTTTTACATAATTTCTGTCATATAGCAATGTCTACAGTGATGCCTTCCGCTAAATTAAAAAGTAAAAGTTTCACATACTCCTTCCGTCAGTCATGTTTTAGCTGAAGCCTTGTTTAACTCTCCCTCCTTCTTAAACATTCGGAAGGAAATTGGAAGGCAATTGTTATAGTGTGTGTCCTTGCAAAAACTCAAAATGCCCTGTATTACTGAAGTACTTTTAAGTAGTATTCTCTGTATATGTCAATGATGATTTGGTTGGATTTGTGAATGCTGGATATTTCAGCAAGTAATATTGTAAATACTGAGGTGGGGTTGCTTTTGTAATATCATCTGAATTTTCAGTAAAACCTTTTTTATGTAAATATTTGTTCATGGTATTTTTCTTTAGTCAAAAGATTTCTGCTTCCTCAGCTTCCTGTATCACATGAATGGCAGGAGTAAAGGAAGAAAAAGTCCTGTGGAGTTGAACATGTAAAAAAATGAACTTTGTAATTAATAGCAGCAAGGAGAGGAGAGGAGAGGAGAAAATGTGGGCAGAGAAAGCTGGCCCACATTTTCTGGGCCATTTCCCATATGTAACCTTATATTAGTCTGATTCATAAATAAGACATGCTGTAACCTAGTTTTCTGGTGTTGCTTAACCCAAGCACAAACAAGCTTAAGCAAGTTATGCAGCAACTAGTAAAAGTTCCCTGGTTATCGTAATAGAGAACAAAGATCTAAAGCACATAACATTCGTAAAATGCAAATAAAATCAGCCTTTGTGCCAAATCAAAAAACAAATGGAAAACAGTGATAACATGCAATTAATTTGTTGGATAAAATTGAAACAAAAGCAAGAAGTGAATAAGAGAGAAGAGAAGGTTGAGAGGACACATGATAGCCAAGTATAAATATGTGAAAGGGTGTCAAGGATGAGGGAGCAGGCTTGTTTTCTGCTGCTCTTGAAACTAGGACTTGGAGCACTGGGCACAAATTACAAGTAAGGGGATTCCACCTAACATTAGAAAGAACTTCCTGACCGTACATGCTGCTCAAAAGTGGAACTCTCTGCCACGCAGTGTGGTGGAAGCTCCTTCCTTGGAAACTTAGAAACAGAGGATGGATGAAGGGAGTTGGACAAGATGGCCCACGTGTTCTCTTCCAACTTTATGATTCTATAATTTGGAGTTAAGGTATCTCGGAAAAATGGGTTTTATCCAAGAATGTCAACTTGCCAGCGGCATGGGCATCTCTTCAGGCAGCGTTCCTTCCTCCCATTGCAAATAATAATAAGAAGAATCATCATCATCATGTAAGATAAAGGTTTCCCCTGACATTAAGTCTAGTCATGTCGAACTCTGGGGGGTGGTGCTCATTTCCATTTCTAAGCCGAAGAGCCGGTGTTTTCCCCCTAGGTCATGTGGCTGGCATGACTACATGGAGCACTGTTACCTTCCCACTGGAGTGGTATCTACTGATCTACTCACATTTGCATTTTTTCAAACTGCTAGGTTGGCAGAAGCTGGGGCTAACAACAGGAGCTTACCCCATCCGCGGATTCAAATCGCCAATCTTCCAATCAGCAAGTTCTGCAGCTTAGCAGTTTAACCCGCAGTGCCACTGTGGCCCCTAATAATAATAATACATGTCATTTATTACCTGCCTCTTCTGATTGCAAGAATTAAAAAACAAAGCCATGTTACTCTGGAATATCAGTATGGAAAGGGGTCTTATTCATTTATTTACAATATTTATATTCTGCCCTTCTCACCCTGAAGGGGACTCTGGGTGGATCACAATGCACACATACACGGCTAACATTCAATGCCGTTTTTAGACATACAAGACACAGAGGTGTTTTGGCATTTCCAACTCCGGTGCCTGGAGGTTATGCTCAATTCCCGCCACAGGGGGTGCTGTCACTTCATCCACTATGACACCCTTTCGATTGTATTTCCTCCTTGCTCTTTGACCACCGCTTTTTTATGGTGTCGTAAAATACCTCCCAGCTTTAAGGTAAAGGTAAACGTTTTCCCCTGACATGAAGTCCAGTCGTGTCCGACTCGGGTGTGGTGCTCTTCATTTCTAAGCCGAAGAGCTGGCATTGTCCGTAGACACCTCCAAGGTCATGTGGCTGGCATGACTGCATGGAGCACCGTTACCTTCCCGCTGGAGTGGTACCTATTGCATGTTTTCGAACTGCTAGGTTGGCAGAAGCTGGGGCTGACAGCGGAAGCTCACACCGCTCCCCGGATTCGAACCTGCGACCTTTCGATCAACAAGCTCAGCAGCTCAGCGCTTTAACCCACTGAGCCACCAGCTTTAAGCGGTGTCTAATTTCTCTACTCTACCTCAGCATTTTTTTAAACTGCTTAGGTGGATAGTAAGCTAGGTTCAACAGTTGGGTGCTCAATCCAACTTGAGCTTCGAACTTGCCACCTTCTGGTCAGCAGTGATCTATTGCTGCTGGCGATTAACCAGCTGTGCAACAGCCTGGCCCTTGCACGTCGGAGACCAAGGGTGTATCTACACTATGGAATTAATGCAGTTTGACCTCACTTGAACTGCCAGGGCTAGATACTATAGGATGTAGTAGTTTTGCAAGGACTTTAGCCTTTCTCTGGCAGAGAGTGTGGCTGCCTCACCAAACTACAACTCCTAGGATTCCCTAGTATTGAGCCCTGGCAGTCTAAATGGTGTCAAAGTGCTTTAATTTAGTGTAAATCAGGCATGGGCCAACTTGGGCCCTCCAGGTGTTTTGGACTTCGACTCCCACCATTCCTAACAGCCTCAGGCCCTTTCCTTTTCCCCCTCAGCCGCTTAAGCGGCTGAGGGGGAAAGGAAAGGGCCTGAGGCTGTTAGGAATGGTGGGAGTCGAAGTCCAAAACACCTGGAGGGCCCAAGCTGGCCCAGGCCTGGTATGATTGGTGTCTATCAATCAGGAGGGGGCTCCCCTCTTGCGCAAAGGGCGGAAGCGGGGTTGCCAAGGAGAAGCTCGCACGCGAGAGCGAATGTGGGCGGGGCGGTAATGCCCGCCAGGCTCCACCGGAGAGCGTCGCCAAGTGGGCGTGGCCAGGCAGGGCTTAGGAGAAGCCGGCAGCGGCTGGGGCTGATGCTTCCAAAGGGCCCGCCATGCGCTCCCTGCTGCCGCGCCTCGGGAGGGCGCTCCGGTCGGCCGCAGGGCAGCCAAGGCTCTGCAGCAGCACCAGCAGTAACAGCGCCGCCGCTTCAGGGAAGGATGCAGACGCCGTAGCCGCCGCGCAGGTGAGGAGGAGGACGGGCATGAAAGGAGGGATAGAGGGATGGATGAGAAGGCTTGAAGGTCTCCCTCTCTCCCAGGAGGCGGAGCAGCGCAAACTTGGGAGAAGTTCCTTCTTTCCTGTCTCTCCCTCCTTTCCTTCCTTTCCTCTGCCACACTTTCTCTCTTCTCTCTTCTTTTCCCTCCTTTCTTCCCCTCTATTTCCTCTTCCTTTTCTTCTTTTATTTCCCCACACTTTCCTCTCCTTCCTCTTTCTTCTCCCCCTTCTTTCCTTCCCCTCCCTCTTTCTTTTCTCTCTTTTCTTCCTCCCTTTTTCCCTTTCTCTTCTTTCTTCACTCTCCCACCTTCTTTCTCTCTTTCTCTCACACCTACCTTTCTTTCCTACCTCACACTTTCCTCCCCTCTCTCTCCTTCTTTCTGTCTTCTCTTTCCCACGTCCTTTCCTTCCTTCTTTTCCTCACACCTTTCTTTCTTTCCTCTCCTGTCTTTTCTTCCCTCACACTTTCCTTCCCCACTCTCTCTTCTTAATTTCTTTCTTTCTTCTCTCTCTCATGTTCTTCCTCTTTCTTTCTTTCACTCACGCCTACCTTTCCTTCCTTCCTTCCTTCCTTCCTCACCCTCTTTTTTCTTCCCTCACACTTTCCTTCCTCTCTCTCTCCTTTCTTTCTTCTCTCTCCAATGTCCTTTCCCTCTTTCTTTCCTCACACCTTTCTTTCTTCCCTCTCCTTCTTTCTTCTCTCTCCAATGTCCTTTCCCTCTTTCTTTCCTCACACCTTTCTTTCTTCTCTATCCTTCTTTCTTTCTTTCTTTCTTTCTTTCTTTCTTTCTTCTCTCTCCTTCTTTCTTTTTTCTTTTCTTCCCTCACACTTTCTTTCTCCCTCACTTCTTTCTGTCTTTCTCCTCTCTCACATTCTTCCTCTCTTTCTTTCCCTGACAACTACCTTTTCTTCCTTCCTCTCCCTCTTTCTTTTCTGCACTCACACTTTCCTTCCTCTCTCCCTCCCTCTTCTTTCTTCTCTCTCCCTCGTCCTTTCCATTTCTTTGCCTCACACCTACCTTTCTTTCCTTCCTTCCTCTCCCTCTTTTTTCTTCCCTCACACTTTCCTTCCTCTCTCTCTCTCTCTCTCTCCTTTCTTTCCTCTCTCTCCCATGTCCTTTCCTTCTTTTCCTCACACCTTTCTTTCTATCATCTCCTTCTTTTTTCCTTTCCTCACACTTTCCTTCCCCCTCACTTCTGTCTTTCTGTCTTCTCTCTCACATTCTTCCTCTCTTTCTTTCCCTCACACCTACCTTTCCTTCCTTCCTTTCTTTTCTACACACACACTTTCCTTCCTCTCTCTCCCCCTCTTCTTTCTTTCTTCTCTCTCCCACTCCTTTCCTTCTTTCCCTTACACTTACTTTTATTTCCTTCCTCTCCCTCTTTCTTTTCTTCTTCCCTTACACTTTCCTTCCTTTCTCTCTTCTTCTTCTTTCTTTCTCCCCCACACCTTTCCTTCCTTCCCTCCACCCATCCTCTCTTTCACTCTTTCTCTTCTTTTATTCCCCACAATTTCTTTCTGTCTGTCTTTCTTTCTCTCCTTTTCTTTCCCTCACACTTCATTCATTGCTCTCCCTTCTTCCCTCTTTCTTTAACTTTATATTTCCTTCCTTTCTCCTTTCCTTCCTTTTCTTCCCTTACACTTTCCTTCCTCTATGTCTTCCCCTTTCCTTCCTTCCTTCCACACCTTTCTTTCTTTCCTTCCTTTTACCCTCTTTCTTTTCTTCTTTCATTCCTCGACACTTTCTTTCATTCTGTGTTTCTTTCCCCTCTTTCCCTCTTTCTTACCCTCACACTTCTTTCCCTCTCCCTCCCTCTTTCTTTCCTTCTTTAACCTCATATTTCATTCCTTTTTTCTTTCCTTCCTCTACTGCTTTTTTTCAGTCTTACCTTTCCTTCCATCCTACCCTTCCTTACTCTCCCACTCTCTTTCTTCCCTTTTTTTCTCCCCTAACTCTTTCTTACTTTAGAAGAGATGAGCAGGGGAAGTGTGATAGCTTCCCTGCAAACCTCAGAGTGCTGTGCTAAAAGTCTAATCCCCATTTGTTTTGACCAGTGTATTTGTATTTTTCCTAAGCTCCCTGGGAATTCTAGCCATTAAAGGGAGGAGTATTAAATTCAGGAAGAAGTAGGACTGTCAGGCCCTCTCCCTAGTACCGGGCTGTGCTGCTGTGTACAGTGTGCACCTTCCAGTGAATGTCACAGGGTGTTCTTAGGCAAGGAATACCCAGAAGCGGTTTTGCCAGCTCCTTCCTCTGACATTCAGTGACGCAGGTCCTTAGTATCTGTTGTGGTTTAGTCCCAGGATTCTTGTGGATGCCCAAGTCCCTTTCATAAATAAGAAAGTTTGCTTCTTGGGGTTTTTGTTTAGGGGTGAGGATATTTTCAAGCCATACATGGTGGAATCCATGGATGCAGAATTGGAGGATATGGAGGGCTGACTGTACAACTCCTTTATTTGCAAGTACATGTAGCTTAATTTATCCACTTCCAGAAACAATAATATCTAGGCATTTTCTAAGCCCTCCAGCACAATTTTGTGATACTCTTGGGTAAGAAATCCTTAATTTCAATAGGGTTTGGTATTCTTTTCAGCAGAGCTTTCATGTTGGTGACACACTTTTTAGAAATACTGTATTTCTTCACTTCTAATATGCACCTTTTCCAGTATAAACATCTCTAAAAATGGGGTACATCTTAAAGTCACAGGTGTATCTAATGTATATTTGGTGGAGAAGGAGCAACTGAGATTAGGGTGAGTCTTGCAGTCAGTGCCCTCTTACAATTGAAGAAATACGTGGTGCATCCTTTTGTGACATAAGCATTTAGTTTTATTCACAAACTGGAGGTTAAACCCACTATAAGAGATACAGACACATACTTAAATTGTAATAGCAAAATGTATGGAGACACAAAATATCGCATGAAAACTTTCATTTATATTTTAAAAATACTGTATTTCATCACATAATAGTCACTGTTTTTGGGTGCTAAATTTTTATTTTTGTTTTCTTTACATAATAGTTGCACCCCAGTTTGGGCTGATTTTCCTTTGCATCCTCCTCCAAAGGCAAGGTAATTTTAGAACTATAAAATTGAGGTTTCCTAAGCTCCACTCTTCTTTCCTCTCTTTTTCCAAGGCTTTAAGACAGTTTACAAAACTGATTTGGAGTTCTTTGAAGAAAGGAGGGAATATGTGAATTCCACAGCTCTCCATTTCAAGTTTTTAAAACTGCCTTGCCTCAGAGGAAGAAAAAAGAGAACAGAGGACCTTCAGAGACCTCTGTTTTGTAGTTCTTCAACTGGGAAGGAAAGATAACCAGCCTCAAATGGCTCTATAGGTTAACAAAACAAAGAAACAGAAATGGAGCTGTTTGTTTGTGACTGGATCATCTCTTCTCCTCTCCTTTTGGAGGCAAGAAATTTTATTTTAAAAAACAACCACAGAAACGGGAAAATAAAGGCAGATTTTTTCCTGGCATAATAGTCGCATACCCCCTTTTTTTAAAAAAAAGAGGGGAAAGTGTGACTATTATGTGATGAAATATGGTATATAATTTATTGCTTATTTCACATAGACTTAGAGATTCCTTGCTACACCTGCATGACACACCTACACCTTTCAGCTGGCACACTAATGGGTTACAACGCATAGTTTGGAAAGCTCTGATCTACGGTTTTGTGTATCCATGTGAAGTCCGGAAACATATCCCCTGTGGATAAAGGCCATATTGTATAGGGTACAGCTCCTGGGATTGGTTGATGGTCCCATCCAAGTACCAATGAGAATTGACTGTGTAGCTTCCAATGTCAAAGCAGGTTCTAGTACTTTAGAGCTATATCTGGTCCTTTCGTTATTAGCTGCTACTTCCTAGAAGGATAGTAAGCTGTTCAGTGAAGTCTCTGAGTAAGCATATGTAGGGTTGTACATTGTTGTTGTGTGCCTTCAAGACTGTTCTAACTTAGGGTTACCAAGTCAGATTTGCCAAGATTTCCTTGGGTGGGGGGGGGGGTTGCCTTTGTTTTCTTCTGAGATGGAGAGAGTGTGACTTGTCCAAGGTCACCCAGTGGGTTTCCATAGTGAGGAGAGACTTGAACCCTTGTTGCTAGAGTTCTTCTTGTCCAACGCACAAACTACTACCTCAAAATGTCCAGAAGCCAGAATTTTGCATCTGAGTAGCATTGCTTTTTCATTTGAAGTAGGCTTCAACCTTGTTAGATTATTATTGTCCTGTATTTGGCTACTACGCTGAATAAAGACCCGCTGGCAACTCAGGGTGGAGCCTCCTCCCCAGCTCTACCTTGTGATTATATTATGCATACAGAACAAATGTTCTTCCACTGAGCTGCAACCTTTCATCAAGGGCCCTTTCTTTGTCCTGAATGACAAGGAAAATTAATACCCATGGTATGTGGGACGTACTATTAAATATCACATGTACAACCATAGGCTGCTTGACCTAATTATCATTTTTATAAGACCTGACCTAAAAAGCAACACATTTTGTCCCCGTTTGTTGTTTTATGTTAGATAAGCATGCCATCTGTTTGCTGGGGAGTATAGGGTTCGGATTTTTTAAAATGAATATTTTAATATATTTTCTTACACTCAAGTATTAAGTATTCTTTTTACCTAGTGAAGACAAATAATTTTATTTAAAAGATTAAATAAAGACAAATTACTTACTGTTTAAGTGCCTGCTTCCTTTGCATTAGTGCTGAGTTGAATAAGTTCAACCCAGGCTTCCTGTTGCTGTCTTGAAGGCAAAAATTTATGAACTGGAAGATAGCTTTATGCCAGTCTTCAGCTACTCGTTTTTAAGGTTTAAGAAATGCAGTGATGACATTGGCAACCCAGTTTAATTAGGGACATTTCTAGTCTCATTTTGGTGTAATTCCTTTAAAGTAGGCAGTGGGAAATGTGTGGTAGGGCAGTGGTTCCCAATCTTTTTTAGACCAGGGACCACT